TAGGGCTTTTGGGGCCAAGGTGCTAGTGGGACTGCAAGGCTGGGCCAGCTGCAGCGGACTGTTTGGACCTGTAACGAGGCCTTGAGAGCGGGATATAGCCGGGCCAGCAAAAGGAGAAGCGGACATTCGACAACGGGGCGACCAGAGCCTCACTCAGGTGACCAGGGAGAACAGGGTGCACTGGAGCAAGCGAATGTGGCGAACGCTGCTCGCTGGTATGGATGCGTGAGTGACAATCACACGAGCAGCTGCCCATGAGAGTTCTCCGCTGGCGGGGAAGAGAAGAGGGAGAGGCAGACATGGAGGGAATTCAGCGTGTACACAGCGTACGCAGCCCTCAACACTTCATTTGCACGGAGTACGCAGCCCATGGAGCGGGGAACCAGAGCATTGCCCGCCGCAGTTCGCTGTCCTTGCTCCAGCCAGTGGTCAAAGCAAGTTCACAGGGTTGGTTGTGGTAGGTGTTCACTTATGCGAGTCAATCAGCGCACGGGAAATGCTAATTAATCCAGCCAGCACGACTTGCTGGCCAGCTTCCACGTTCACGAAAGGATGCACAGCGAGAGCCAATCAAGGGTACCCATCAACTTACGGGAAAGAGGTAATCGGCATACGGGAGGAACACTCCAATTAAGCAACAAACCAAGGTCGGAACAATCTGGCATTGCAACCAATCAACTGGGCTATGTACGTTGGATAGATCCTGATCGACAACGAGCATGGGTGAACTGCTATTTATTTATTTATTTATTTTGGTGTGCACAGACTGGACCCCCGCAGCAATACCTCCCCTGAATTCCAAATGGATAAGAAGAAAAAGATTGGCGAGCGTATGCAGCCCGTGTGGGTGAGTGGTGGACACAAGGCAGCTGTGGATTGGGTCAAACACATGATGATTTCAAAGCATGACGGGATCAGACCGAGACATACATTAGCGAGGCAGTCTGAAGAGAGTGAGACAGAAGAGAGTAAGTAGAACAGAGAGAGGGACTGTGTGTGAGAGAGAGGGACTGCTCGGAGTGAGAGAGAGGGACTGTTCAGAGTGAGAGAGAGGGACTGTGTGGGGTGAGAGAGAGGGACTGTGCAGAGCGGGAGAGACTGACTGCACAGTGTGAGAGAGAGAGAGTGCAGTGAGAGAGAGAAAGAGAACGGGGGTGAGAGAGGCTCAGAGAGACTACACAGACAGGGAGAGAGTGAGAAAGAGAGCAGGTAGGTTTGGGGTACTTGGGATTTGCATGAATTTGGGCGCTGCTGTTGTCCCGATCCCACAAAGCATATTACCCGGCAAATGACGGCATTTTCCACACCTTGAGCCGGACCTCTCCATAGCAACTGTAGTAACGATGCGCTGCGTGAAAAATTCAACGGGATGCTAAACGGGCATTATATGCAAGCACGACAAGGGTTTCCAACTTTCCAAATACTAWGTGAGAAACATCATCAGGTACTCCAACAGCGCGTGTGTGAGCATGTGCGCTGATCCTATTTGACACAGAGACATTAAGCTATGTGAACTCGACATTAGGATTCTATATCAGCCTTATCACGGTGACAGTATGCTGTGTGATCACAAATTAGTGACAAATCACAAGATCCACAGCAGTGGTGTGCCAAGTTAGTAGCATTTGGAACAGTGATAGAGGCAATACCCAAAGGCAATGCACTGTGTGAAAACGTCAGGGAACTCGATGTTTTGCGTGAGCACAACACCATAGCACTAGATGAAGCTCAACCATGTGAAAACACCAAGGGGCAAGCTGAACGGCAGATGGTACCTGATCACGAGTTTGTTGGCCAAATAGAAGGCTTTGAGCAAGACCAGCAG